AAGAGGAGTTATTCTTTTCCCTTGGAGGAGAGGTATTTTCTTGCTCTCCCATATTTCTTGTGATCCTGCGGTGATTTCTAGTCATCACGCTAGCTTGTTTGCTAGAGGCTGAATTATCAGTAGGAACTCTTCATTTCTCTTTTACCCTGAAACGACTAGTTCGCAGGAGCCATGAGGAATCTTCTGCTGAAGGCCTTGCCTCTCCTGCCATGCTAGCTCGTTTGCTGGAGGCAAAATTATCAGTAGGAACTCATTTTCTCTTTTACCCTCCCCAGTGTGTTTTTCAAGTCACAGGGGCCAGGACTCAAACTGCGGTTGGCCATGTGGGATCCAGCTCCCTTAAGCACTAGGCTGCAGGGCTGGCCCCAAGAGAACTTAGAAGAGAACTGTAGGGACCAGAAGATGGCATAATGATTATGTCTCTGGACTCCCATATAGTCAACCGCAGTTTGAGTCCCTGCAGCTTAAAACTCATGCTGGGCACAAGTGTGTGTGTGCTCAGAATCCTGAGAAGAGAATGGAAAAGAAGGGATTGCAGTGTGGTCATCCCTTCAGGGGGTGATTTCTTTTTTTTTTGGAGAGATTTTCACTGTAGGGCGTGTGCGCTCACCAGACAGACAGAGACATAGAGACAGAAAGCAAGAAATCACCCCCCAGGGGGGATGGTCACGCTGCAATCCATTCTCCTCTCGGGATCTTGGGCACGCACGCACACACGCCCGGCGTGAGTTTTAAGCCACCAGGTCCGGGACGCGAACCGCGGTCGACTACGTGGGAGTCCAGCGACATAGCCATTACGCTAACTGCTGGTTCCCAGGGGATGGTTTCTTACTTTCTCTCTGTATCTCCGGTAAATGTATGTGCCCTATAGCAAAAACTTCTCATTTTAAAAAAATGTATTGGGGCCAGCGGGTGATGTGGTGGTTAAGGACACTGGACTCCCACATAGCAGACTGTGGTTCAAGTCCTGGACCTGTCGGCTTGCTTTCTTACTTTCTCTTTCTCTCTCTGTCCCTTTCTGGTCAAACTAAAATAAATAAAGTTAAACAAAATAATTCTTGAAAAAAATACAGTTTTAAAAAAAAATGTATTGGGTCATGGTGGTTGAGGTGCTGCACTCCACATGACTCCTGCAGTTTAAGTCCCAGACCCGGCGGCCTGAAAAATAAATGTTTATACATATATATATCAGCTATATGCTATATTTATATATACATATACATATATATATATAGAGAGAGAGAGAATTTATAATCCAGAAACTACCAAGCATCATGAAATAACACTGACAGAATAGCACTATAATAAGGACTAAGTGAGCTAGATTAAAAGCCTCCTTTTCATTGTTTTTCCTAGACTGACTTTACCTCTGCTGGAATTGCATTAGAATGACCTCTCTGGCAATGTACACAGTCCATTTCAGCCAAAGAATCTGGGCCAAGGCTAAGGAGTTACCAAACAAGTGGAGATGGATGGAGAAACTCTGAAATAATAAATGTCAACTGACATTTGATTTTAGGATTGGAGCAATAGAGTAGTAAGGACGACGGCAAAATAGGGTGTGCATGTCCTGTCTAAAGGGGCAGCTGCTACCGCCTTCAGCTAATTGTGGCCACAGAGAATTCCAGCATTAGCAAATATTACTGCCTTTTTTTCTTTTGGCGGGGGGGAGGTGTTTGCTATAGGGCACGTGTGCTTGCCAGAGAGAAAGAGAGACAGAAAGTGAGATATCACCCCGTGGGGAGGGGAATACGGCCACAATCCCTTCTCCTCCATTCTCCTCTAGGGATCTTGGGCACACAAGCACACGTGCCCTATGTAAGTTTAAGCAGCTGGGTCCATGGGAGTCCAGCTACATAACCATTATGCCATCTGCTGGTCCCGATATTACTGCTTTTTAAAACAAAGTAGATTTTACATGAAATCTTTCAAGTTTTAAATGTTAGCAAGTAATTTTCTGAACTTTCCAAGTACAAGCCAAGCAAAACACATGTATAGGTTATTGTTTATGATCTCTGATTCAGTCTCTTAAGGAAGTTGGTATTTATATTTAGACTTGATTGACAACATTTTAATAGACATCGCTTAAAATGGCAGCATTTTAAATGTATGACATGACTAAATAAAACTTGAAGATCTGGCAATATTATAATTTTAAAAATTACAACTGCTTGGCACCACCTGGACAGCTTTTCGGTTCTTGGATTTCTCCAGAAAACAATGATATACTTTGTATTTCAAACTACATAGAACATCAGGCCAGAGGTGGGGAGGTGCTTAAGGTGGCTGGATTCCACATGGCTGATGGTGCAGCTCGATTCCCAAATCCAGTGGCTTGAAAAACATGCTGGGCACATATGTGTGCTTACCCAAAATCTCAAGCGGAGTCTGGAGGAGAAGGAGCTGTGGCATGATCGTTCAATGTGGAGGGTGTTTTCTTGCTCTCTTTCTCTTTCTGTCTCTCTCTCTGTCTCTCTGGTGAGTGCATGCACCCTCTGGCAAGTTTGAAAAAAAAAATTTCTCATTTCAACTGAGCAAGTACCTAGACAGGGCCTGGCCTCCTGGCCAGTAGATTGCCCAGTAAGGATCGCTGTAGGGCCACAGGTCAGCTCTTTCCCACCAGAACTTGCAGCGGGGCGTCAAAAGCCGCAACTGGATTTCAGGAGTGAGGCTGCCATTGCTGGTGACTTGGGTGTTCTCCTCCAGGAACGCTTTCATGTCAGGGTTCGTAAAGCTTCCAGCTCCTCTCTGGGGACAGAGGCTCCAGGATAACAAGGGAAGACCAGTGCTTCCGACAGCCTTCAGAATGCAGTGGCTTCTGGGAGACTTCCAACCCCGGCTCAAAGCCATCAGTCCTTTTCAACGACACACCTATCTGTGTTGCTCCTCCTGGGGGGAAAAACCACGGGTCTATCTCCCAACTTGATCTCAGCTGCAATCTCCGGATCTCTAAAAACAAAATTGATACTGAAAATTCCAAGGCTGACCAACATTTCCAGATCCTATCACATAAGAAAACAATACACTGTAAGCTCTGTATCTGATTCCCAAGTGCAACTTCATTTCCGAGAAAAGCTTTGGTGCATCAACTTGGCAAATACAATCTCGCTTTCTGACTGTCTCTTTCTGGTGAGCGCACATGCCCTATAGCAAAAAACTCTAAAAAGAAAAAATTATATATACACTTAAAGTTATTTCATACATTTAACAAGTGACTAGGCTGGCATGCCTGGCAACTGTGAACAAAATAAACACAAGTCCCCCTCCCTTTCACGAAGTCTATAGTCTAGTAGTATAATACTCAGGTAAGGCAAAAACAGTTTTTGCCTGTATAAGGTATAGCCAAGAGTTGTTAAGGTTAATAAACTTGTTCGTGGGCTGAGGAATACACAAATCATATATATCTACACATGCATACATATTAGGTTTTGCCATAGGGCACATGTACTCTGTGGTAAGAGACAGAGAAAGGGAAAGTGAGAAATCACCTCTGGGGCGGGGGGGGGAATGGCCACACTGCAATCCCTTCTCCTCCATTATCTTGGGATTTGGGGCATGCATGCACACATACCCAGCGTGCTTTTCCAGCTGCCAGGTGTGGACTAGAATCATGGGAATCCAGCACTTTAACTACCATGCCACTTTCTGGCTCAACAAATTATATTGACTGCATTCTATTTCATTAGAGATTATCACATCACAAAACAATGCAATCAAGACTCAGATTTTTTTCCTTTGAAAAAATAACTTTATGGATGTAATTGTAACAAAAAGACATGACCTCCCAACTCCTCCTCTAAGTAGCTCTGATGATTCAACTTTACCAAGCCTGGATTGAAAAAATTTGTTCTAGTAGAAAAATTTGGTAAGAATGAGCAGGGGGCTGGGAGGTGGCATGGTGGTTGAAGGTGTTGGACTCCCATATGGCCAACCGTGGTTCAGGTCTCAGACCTAGTGGCTTGCTTTCTCACTTTCCCTCTCTCTCTCTCTGTCTCTCTCTGATCAAACTGGAAAATAATAATAAAGTTAAATAAAATAATTCTTAAAAAAAAAAAAGAAAAGAAAAAAAGAATGAGTGGGAGTGAGGAGCAGCAATTTAAACAAAAATTAGAGACCAGCAGTTGGCTTAATGGCTATGTCACTGGACTCCCACATAGTCAACTGTGGTTCAAGTCCCAGATCCAGTGGCTTAAACTCACACCAAGAATGTGTGCGTGCATGCCCAAGAGCCTGAGAGGAGAATGGAGAAGGGATTGTGCCGTGGCCATCCCCTCTGGGGGGTGATTTCTCTCTCACTTTCTGTCTCTCTGAATCTCTCTGTCTTTCTGGGGAGTGCATGCACCCTATAGCAAAAACCTCTCCAAATAAATAAATAAATAATAAACAAACACAAATTATACACCCAGTTGTTTGCGACCTCTTATCTGATCTGCATAAATTTTATTTATTTATTTATGAAAGAGATTTTTACTATAGGGCACGTGTACTCACCAGAGAGACAGAAAGTGAGAAATCACCTGGGGGGGGGGGGGGATGGCCATGCCTCAATCCCTTCTCCACTCTCCTCTTGGGATTTTGGACATATATGCACACCCGATAGGAAGCCGCCAGTCTGGGACTCGAACTACAGTCAACTATGTGGGAGTCCAGCAATGTATCCATTGTGCCATCTGCTGATCCCCTGCATGAATGTTTTAAATAGCCTTATACTCAATTATTTAGAGTAGAGGTAAAAAACTGGAATGCCTTCAAGGGGCCAGATGTCAACGGTGATACAGGCTGGTATAAGATAATAGGGCTGTGACCAACCGGAAACTGGAAACAGTCCAGAAGGACCAGGCAGGAGCCTGCTGCCAGATCTTCTGATTTCTCAAAATAATCCTGAAATCCTGGTATTTCCATATAAACTCTCACTTTTAAACATCAGCGATACAGTCAAATAGCAAAGCACAGGGCAGGCCAGAAAGCATGCCAGGTCACCAGGCTGAGCTGCGGTAGACTTGCGGTGGGTGGCAGTTAATCCTCGTTTCTGCCCTGGGGATCCCAAAGGGCCTGGCATCCCATTTGACTAATTCTGTTAGCAGCACTGGATTATCCCTCCAATCAGACAAGCCTAAAGTTTAAAAATAAAGCAGAGCGAATCTGAGATGATTTTTGGATTGGGTCAGCACCTCAACCCCCACGTGTCCCCCTTCCACCTCTGCACCAGTGAGCCTGGGCTCTGAAGTCCGTGAAAAGCGTGTGCATTTGGTACATATATTCCACATAACTGATAAGAGAATGAGATCCGATAAGAAGGGTTACGGTCCCAACACTGTGACCACGTTATTTCCCTCCGAAGGACGGGTCGATCTTAACCCCGCAGGCGCAGCCCTCGCCTCCTTTACCTGGCTTTGCTAACGCCGGTGCAGAGCTCGCGATCGGAAGTAGGGCGCCCGGCACCTGTGACGCCCGCCTTTGACCCGGTACAACCGCGGTGCGCCCGGCTCCCAGAATCCGAGGCTGGCGGGAGGCGGCCCCGAGGCGGCCCCGCACCCGCCCACTTTCCCGGCAGCGCTTTAGGTGGCCCACACTTTCTTAAAGGCGCAGGAAGTGCGATCCCCAGCGCGCCCTTATCCTACCTGGAAAACGAGGAAACGTTCCATCCGCGGGCAATGTCTGTGGGATTCCGATTTCTAAAATATTCGTTCTAAAACGATAAACGGAGCGTATGCTCTGTGCCAGTCACTGAGTATGGAATGGTGAACAAGACAGACACAGTATAAGGCTAGTATGACGTTTATATTAAATTAAATCACTTCTGCAGTATTATAAAGTTCTAGACCCGTATACGCCGTCCCTGGTGTATTCATCTACCCCCTTATCCCCTATCGTGGGCGCGTCGGAGGGCTGGGGGGGAGGTTGTCCAAAACCAGGACACCAGCAAACCATGCTTCTGCATCTTGGCTTACAGTTTGAGAAATTCGCTGGAGCTGCCTGTTCAAAATCCCCTGGGTTCTCTATTCTGCCTTGATTTATAGGCGGCTTAAAAATTCCCGGGCCAGCACGTGGCGTACTGATAAGGAGGCTTGACACTCATGTCAGGCACGTGCGCTGTACGAGCCCAAAATCCCCACTGGGGGCAATTTCTCACTCTCTCTCTCCAGCGGGCCTACGTGCAGGAGGAAAATCTCTTTTTTAAAAAATCCCATGTAATCTTAGATGTCTAGGAACACCTTCAGGGAATGACACTTGTTACTCCAATGAACCACCCCAGGTTCATACTTATCATTTGTTTCTTAGATGAGTGGAATATTTATTCCCATCCGTAGGCAACATGCCTTGCATTTCAGAGTACTCAGCCTCAGATTTCCTCTACAGTGTATGATGTTTTTATGATTTGCATTTATTAAAAGTAAGAGCTACTTTTTTCTTACTTAGCTGCTAATGTAAACCTTTGTTTTCTCAACTGTAATAACTCATTTCCGCATACTCTCCAATCCTCTGGCTAGGAACGAACCTTAATCGTGTGCAAGATCAGTTTGTCTAATAATGTTGTTTTAAACCAGTTTCTGTGTTCCATCTCAATGAATAGTTCCAATATCGCGGTTGTTACCCGAGAAACCAGAGAGAAGAGGCAGGCTTGGCATATCTACAAAAAAGGGTTTCCAGTAAAAGGCCTGGAGGTCATCACTGAAGGGTGCATTTAATAAAGTGAAGAGGCTTTAGTCAAAACTTGGAACTAGGCTAAAGGGATTGTGCCTGTCTTTCCCTCTCCTTAATGGTTTTTAAATTGGTCCATTCTTTCCATCCCTCCTGCTATGCCTTGGTGTAACCTCAAGATGGCTTGCCTGGATTCCTGTACCTGGTGTGTTTCCAGTCCTGCCAACCTCTTAACTGTTAACGATGGGAAAGTGTCCAGGAGAATGGAGGAGAAGGGATTGCGGAGTGGCCATCCCCCCTGGGGGGTGATTTCTCGCTTTCTGTCTCTCTGTCTC